AGGCAATCCACTTACCTCAGCCTCCCAAAGGCGCAGGATTACAGGCTGAACCACCGAGCCCGGCTTCTTGTTTGATTTCTTACAACTCCTCCTGGAATGTAAGATCAGCTTTGGGAGAAAGAAGATTTAGGTTTTTCCTTCTATTATTAAAAGTGGTCTATTTTTGACCAGGTGTGGCAGCTCATACCTGCAATCCCAATACTTGAGGAGGCCAAGGAGGGAGTTCGAGACCAGCCTGGGCACTATAGCAAGACCTCATCTCTACAAGAATCAAAAAATTAGGCAGGCATGATGGTGCATGCCTGCAGTCCCAGCTACAGGAGGCTGAGATGGAAGGATCACCTGAGTCCAGGAGTTCACAGAGTAAAACCTCCCACCTAAAAAATAAAAAAATGGAACATACAGAAAAATTGGAAAATACAGAAAAATAAACAATCACCTATAATTCCACTAATCAAATCTGGCTGCTTTTTTTTGAGTCATAGTCTCACTCTGTCACCCAGGCTGGAGTACAATCGCATGAATACAGCTACTGCTGCCTCGACTTTCTGGGCTCAGGAGATCCTTCTACATCAGCTTCTCGAGTATCTGGGACTATAGGTATGCACCACTATGCCTGGCTAATTTTTTAATTTTCTTGTATAGACGGGGGTCTTGCCAAGTTGCCCAGGCATGTATTGAACCCCTGGGCTCAGGCAATCCTCTTACCTCAGCCTCCCAAAGTGCTGAGATTACAGGCATGAACACTGCGCCCGGCCATACACCTTTTCTTTTTTTTTTTTTTTGTTTGTTTGTTTTTTGAGTTGGAGTCTCACTCTGTCACCCAGACTGGAGTGCAGTGGCCGCTCCCGGCCACCACAGCCTCAACCTGCTGGGCTCCGGTGATCCTTCCACCTCAGCCTTCCAAGTAGCCAGAATTACAGGCATGCGCTACCACGCCCTGCTGATTTTTTGATTTATTGTAGAGATGAGGTCTTGCTGCCCAGGACGGGTCTTGAACCCACGGGCTCAGGCAATCCACTCACCTCAGCCTCCCAAAGGCATGGGATTACAGGCTGAGCCACTGAACCCGGCTATACACCTTTTCTTAATTATACCCTATGAGTCCTTCTTGTTCAGCGTAACACTGACATCCGTAATGAACACATCTTTTTATTTCTTTTTTTTTTTTTTTTTTTTTGAGTTGGAATCTCACTCTGTCGCCCAGACTGGAATGCAGTGGCCGCTCCCGGCCACCGCAGCCTCGACCTGTTGGGCTCCGGCAATCCTTCCATCTCAACCTTCCGAGTAGCTGGAAATACAGGCGCGCGACATCTTTTTATTTCTGATGGCCATCATCTGCCCCTGGAAGTTGGCACAGGAAGTTAGCCATCTTGGCTAAGGGGAGCAAATAGCTGTATAAATAATGAGGAATTATTGAATATATCAGATTCAATTACTGAATATAACAGAATAAACTTAGATAAGGAGGGAATCAAATCCAATATATATAAAACCCATAGAGACCCTTGCCCCCATGATCATATTTTTCTAGAGTCTTTTTTTTTAGTCACAATTGTATAATTTTATACAAATGGTTTTCTAGCCGGGAGTGGTGACTCACAACTGTAATCCTGGCACTTTAGGAGGCCGAGGTGAGGGGATTGCCTGAGTCCAGGAATTCTAGACCAGCCTGAACAACTTGACAAGACCTCATCTCTGCAAAAAAATCAAAAAATTAGCCAGGTGCGGTAGTGTGAGCCTGTGGTTCTAATTACTTGGAAGGCTGAGGTGGAAAGATTGCCTGAGCCCAGCAGGTTGAAGATGTGGTAGCCATGATTGTGCCGCTGCACTCCAGCCTGGGCAGCAGAGTGAGACTTCAACTTAAAAAAAAAAAAAAAAAAAGGATTGCCTGATCCGGTGGATTCGAGACCCGCCTGGGCAATTTGGTGAGACCTCATCTCTACAATAAATCAAAAAATCAGCCGGGCGTGGTAGCGCGTGCCTGTAGTTCCAGCTACTTGGAAGGCTGAGGCGGAAGGATCTCCAGAACCCAGCAGGTCGAGGTTGCAGTGGCTGGGAGCAGCCACTGCACTCCAATCTGGGCGATGGAGTGAGACTCCAACTGAAAACAAAAGGCTTTTCCTTCTATTCTGCTGAGAATGGTTTCACCCTCATATGTATACCCACACACCCCACTCAACTTATATCAAATTGTGAAAGAGTAACTAAATTATAAAAGTATTGGCCAGCCACAGTGGCTCATGCCTATAAATCCCAGCACTTTGGGAGGCCGAGGTGAGAGGATTGCCTGAACCCAGGGGTTCGAAACCAGCCTGGACAACTTGGTGAGACCTCATCTCTACAGTAAATAAATAAAATAATAAATAAATAAAATAAATAAAAAATTAGCTGGGTGTGGTGGCATGTGCCTGTAGTTCCAGTTACTTGGAAGGCTGAGGCATAAGGATCACCTGAGCCCAGCAGGTCGAGGCTGCAGTGGCTGGGAGCATGCCACTGCCCTCCAGCCTGGGTGACAGAGTGAGACTCCAACTCAAAAAAATATATATATCATAACTAGTTAAAAGATAGTCAATACCAAGGCCGGGTGCGGTGGCTCATGTCTATAATCCCAGCACTTTGAGAGGACTAGGTGAGAGGATTATCTGAGTCCATGAGTTTGAGACAAGCCTGGGCAACTTGGCAAGACTTCATCTCTACAATAAAAAAAATTAGCCAGGCATGGGGGCACGTGCCTGTAGGTTCAGCTAATTGGAAGACTGAGGTGAAAGGATCACCTGAGCCCAGCAGATGAGGCTGCGGTGGCCGGGAGTGTGCCACTGTACTCCAGCCTGGGTGACAGAGTGAGACTCCAACTCAAAACAAAACAAGCTGGGCTCGGTGGCTCAGCCTGTAATCCCGCGCTTTGGGAGGCTGAGGTGAGTGGACTGCCTGAGCCCGCGGGTTTGAGACCCGCCTGGGCAGCGAGACCTCATCTCTACAATAAATCAAAAAATCAACCGGGCATGGTAGCGCATGCCTGTGGTTCCGACTACTTGGAAGGCTGAGGTGGAAGGATCGCCGAAGCCCAGCAGGTCGAGGCTGCGGTGGCTGGGAGCGACCACTGCACTCCCGTCTTGGCGACAGAGTGAGACTCCAACTCAAAAAAAAAAAAGGAGTATTTTTGAGCCGGGCTCAGTAGCTCAGCCTGTAATCCCGCGCCTTTGGGAGGCTGAGGTGAGTGGATTGCCTGAGTCCGCGGGTTCGAGACCCGCCCGGGCAGCGAGACCTCATCTCTACAATAAGTCAAAAAAATCACCCGGGTGTGGTAGTGCGTGCCTGTAATTCTGGCTACTCGGAAGGCTGAGGCGGAAGGATCGCCGGAGCCCGGCAGGTCGAGGCTGCGGTGGCCGGGAGCGTCCACTACACTCCAGTCTGGGTGACAGAGTGAGACTCCAACTCAAAAAAAAAAAAAAATTTTGGGGCTGGTCGCGGTGGTTCAAGCCTATAATCCCAGCACTTTGGGAGGCCGAGACGGTAGGATTGTCTGAGCCTGAGGTTTCAAATCCAGCATGGGCAACATGGTGAGACCTTGTCTCTACAATGAATCAAAAAATTAGCTGGATGTGGTAGTGCATGCCTGTGATTCTAGCTACATGGAAGACTGAAGCAGAAGGATCACCTGAGCCCAGCAGGTTGAGGCTGTGGTAGCTGGGAGTGTGCCCCTGCCCCCCAGCCTGTGCGACAAAGTGAGACTCCAACTCAAAAAATAAATCAATAAAATATTTTTGGCTGGGCGTGGTGGCTCAGCCTGTAATCCCAGCACTTTGGGAGGCTGAGGCAAGAGAATTGCCTGAGCCCACGGATTCGAAACCAGCCTGGGCAACTTGGTGAGACCTCATCTCTATAATAAATTTTAAAAAATCAGCTGGGCGTGGTGGCACTTGCCTGTAGTTTCAGCTACTTGGATGGCTGAGGTAGAAGAATCGACTGAGACCAGCAGGTCGAGGCTGTGGTGGCTGTGCGCGTGCCACTGCCCTCCAGCCTGGGCAACAGAGTGAGACTCCAACTCAAAAAAAAAATAAAAAAAGATAGTCAATACCAGGTATTAGTGTAACAAGGTATCTGCATAACAAATCTTTCTGGAGTCTTGAAAGTATTATGCAGCTTTGCCTAATGTTTTCTGAAGCATACGTACATTAAAAAATATTTTTGGAAAAGTGTGGTAGCTCAGCCTGTAATCCCAGCATAAAAATTAGCAAGAGGATTGCCTGAGCCTGGGGGTTCAAGACCAACCTGGGCAACTTGATGAGACCTCGTCTCTACAATAAATAAAAAAATAAGCTAAGCATAGTAGTTCAAGCTACTTGGAAGGCTGAGGTGAAAGGTTCGCCTAAGCCCAGGAGGTGGAGGCTGCAGCGACTATGAGCATGCCGCTGCACTCCAACCTGGGCAACAGAGTGAGACTCCAACTCAAAAAAATACATGTATTTTTTCTACTGATGTATTTTTAAATATGTTTTCTGGGCTGGGCACAGTGATACATGCTTGTAATCCCAGGAGGCTGAGGGGAGAGAATTGCTTGAGCCCAGGAGTTCAAGACCAGCCTGGACAATAGAGCTAGACTTCATCTGTAAATAAAAAATTTTTTAAGTTGCCGGGCTCGGTGGCTCAGCCTGTAATCTCGCGCCTTTGGGAGGCTGAGGTGAGTGGATTACCTGAGCCTGCGGGTTCTAGACCCGCCTGGGCAACTTGGTGAGACCTCATCTCTACAATAAATCAAAAATTAGCTGGGTGCGGTAGCGCGCACCTGTAGTTGCAGCTACTTGGAAGGCTGAGGCGGAAGGATCGCCGGAGCCCGGCAGGTTCGGGCTGCGGTGGCCGGGAGTGGCCACCGCACTCCAGTGGGTGACAGAGTGAGACTCCAACTCAAAAAATAAATAAATAAAAATAAAAATATAAAATAAAATAAAAATAAAAATTAGCCAGGCATGGTAGCACATGCCCATAGTCCTAGTTATTCAGGAGGTTGAGATGGAAGAATCAACACCTAAGCCCAGGAGGTTGAGGCTGTGGTGAGCTGTGATTTTGCCACTGCACTTGAGCCTGGGTGAAAGAATGAGATACCAACTCAAAAAAAAAAAAAAGGTGGCTGGGCTCGGTGGCTCAGCCTGTAATCCCAGCACTTTGGGAGGCCGAGGTGAGTGGATTGCCTGAGCCTGCGGGTTCCAGACCCGCCTGGGCAACTTGACGAGACCTCATCTCTACAACAAATCAAAAACTAGCCAGGCATGGTAGTGCATGCCTGTAGTTCCAGCTACTCAGAAGGCTGAGGCGGAAGGATTGTGGAGCCCAGCAGGTCGAGGCTGCAGTGGCCGGGAGCAGTCACTGCACTCCATTCTGGGTGACAGAGTGAGACTCCAACGCCAAAAAAAAAAAAAGTTTTCTGAGTATTGTACCATACACATTTCTAATATGTCTCTTTATAACCAAAATAACAATGATTAGTCTTAAGAGTTTTGTTTTTGGCTGGGCATGATGGCTAACACCTGTAATCTCAGCATTTTGGGAGACTGAGGTGAGAGGATTGCCTGAGCCTACTGGTTTGAGACCAGACTGGGCAACTAGGTGAGACCTCATCTCTACAATATATCAAAAATTAGTCAGGCGTGGTGGCACGTGCCTATAGGTCAAGCTACTTGGAAGGCTGAGGTGAAAGGATCGCCTGAGCCCAGCAGGTCGAGGTTGTGGTGGCCACGAGTGTGCCACTGCACTCCTGCCTGGGAGACAGAATGAGACTCCATCTCAAAAAAAAAAATTTTTTTTTGTTTGTTTTTGTTTTTTTTGAGTTGGAGTCTCAGTCGGTCGCCCAGACTGGAGTGCAGTGGCCACTCCCGGTCACTGCAGCCTTGACCTGCTGGGCTCCGGCCATCCTTCTGCCTCAGCCTTCCAAGTAGCCAGAACTATAGGCGCTCGCTACCATGCCCAGCTAATTTTTTTTTTTTTTATTTATTGTATTTGGGGTTTTTTGTTTGTTTGTTTGTTTGTTCTGTTTTGTATTGTTTTTTTCAGTTGGAGTCTGACTCCATGGCCCAGACAGGAGTGCAGTGGCCGCTCCCAGCCACTGCAGCCTCAACCTGCTGGGCTCTGGCAATGCTTTCACCTCAGCCTACTGAGTAACCGGAACTACAGGCGTGCACTACCGCACCTGGCTAATTTTTGATTTGTTGTAGAGATGAGGTCTCGCCAAGTTTCCCAGATGGGTCTCGAACCCGCAGGCTCAGGCAATTCACTCACCTCAGCCTCCCAAGGCGTGGGATTACAGGCTGAGCCACCGAGCCCGGCTAAAATTTTTTTTTTTTTTTTTGAGTCGGAGCTTCACTCTGTCGCCCAGACTGGAGTGCAGTGGCTGCTCCCGGCCACCGCAGCCTCGACCTGCTCGGCTCCGGTGATCCTTTTACCTCAGCCTTCCAAGTAGCTGGAACTACAAGTGTACGCTACCACGCCCGACTTATTTTTCTGATTTTATTGTAGAGATGAGGTCTCACCAAGTTGCCAAGGCGTGTCTCGAACCTGCAGGCTCAGGCAATCCACTCACCTCATGAAATTTGTTTTTTAATATCATATAATAGCTGGTCATTTTTCACATTTGCCTATTTGTCCCTAAAATACCTTCTCAGCAAGTTCATCTTCCCTTGTAACTAATCTGTCATGCAATTCATATTCATTTAACAGACTTTTGACATACTTCATTTCTACCCTATATATAAAAGCATTATTGCCCTAAACTTTTGCCACCTTGGGTATTATTACCATTTTTGCCTATTAGTTATATTCTTTATTTTAAAGTTAACATCATAATTGAAGCTTTTTATTTTGATGTTAGGAATTCTTCCAAGACATCATTTAAGCACGCGTAGGAAATGTTCTGACGAGTGGATTCAGAGTGTGATTGTTTCCTGAGTCCCTTTGGTTAGCAGTTTTGGCTTCTCCCGCCTGATCTATCAATCAGCCTCCAGTGACAGCCAGCCGCGGTGTAATTCTTGTTTGAGGTTTTACCTAATGAGTTCATGTGTTTCTCCCTTCTGTCCATCAGACTCCACCTCACTGCTTGGAGATTACACCTCCATCTTCAGAAAAGCTGGTCTCGGTGATGCGATTAAGTGACCTCTCTACAGAAGATGACGACTCGGCTCACTGTAAAATGAACTGCTACGATAAGAAGATTGACAGTCTAATGAACGCGGTTGGTTGTCTCAAGTCTGAGGTGAGGGGGGTGGGGGGATGGGACAGTTAGTGCCCTAAGGACATGCATGACTGTCTAGGTGGCCTCCCTGTCTGGTACCTCAGCCTGCCTCTCTGCAGGGTTCCTGCCCTCTTCAGCAGGGTTGCCGCAGCCAGTCCTACCATGCTGACAATGGCCCTCTCTTTGAGCGCTGTCCTGGAGCTCTAAACGGAAGGCCTGATTCAACTTTTTTTTTTTGAGTTGGAGTCTCACTCTGTCACCCAGACTGGAGTACAGTGGCTGCTCCCGGCCACCGCAGTCTCGACTTGCTGGGCTCCAGCGATCCTTCCTCCTCAGCCTTCCAAGTAGCTGGCCAAGTAGCTTGAACTACAGGCGCGCGCTACCACGCCCGGCTAATTTTTTGGTTTATTGTAGAGATGAGGTCTCGCCAAGTTGCCCAGCCGGGTCTCGAACCCGTGGGCTCAGACAATCCACTGATCTCAGCCTCCCAAAGGCGCGGGATTACAGGCTGAGCCACCGAACGCGATCTGATTCAACTTTTTACAACAGCAAATGCAGCTGGTGGTATTGACCCTGTTATAGATGTGAAGTAAATGGGAAACTGGGACTTCTGCTTTGTATTTTATACAAAAATTTAACAAAAACAAAGCCCCAAAGAGGCAAAGGAAGTCTGTCTTCAGTCATGAGCTGTCTCTTGCTGTGGGATGTGACAATGGAACTGGAAACAGAATCTGGAAGTCCAAGGTCCCCAGCTAGAAGGTTGGCAGAGCTGACATTAAGATCCAGGTTTTAGGCCAGGTGTGGTGGCTTATGCCTATCATCTTAGCACTTTGGGAGGCCAGGGCAGGATTGCTTAAGCCCAAGAGTTTGAGACTAGCCTAGGTAACAGCGAGACCTTATTTCTACAAAAATAAAAAAATAGCCAGGCATGGTGATGCACACTTATAGTCCCACCTACTTGGGAGGCTGAGGTGAGAGGATTGCTTCAGCCCAGGGGTTCAAGGTTGCAGTAAGTTATGATCATGCTACTGTACTCCAGCCTGGGAGACAGAGTGAGACACTGTCTCTAAAAAAAAAGAAAAGAAAAGAAAAAATATCGAGGCCTTGACCACTAATGTGACCTGAGTCTCTAACCCTCCACTTTGCACTTGGGGTCCAGGGAGAACCTAGGGCTAGCAGCCTGGCGACAGGCCCTCTGTCTCCCACAGCCGAAAGTGCAGGCCTTTTGTGACCTGTGGTATGCCAGCCAAACCACGGTTTGCAACCTGGCTCCGTCCCCAGCCAACAGGTCACCCAGGCTCTCTCTCCTCAGTTTCCTCATCTGCAAAATGAGGAGGGAACTAGTGTCTCCTGGGAGAGCCAGTCTCGTGACAGCGAACCGAGACTGCGCTTAAGGACCTGGCATGGAGCCTGAGTCGATCTCTGCAGGAGGAACCCTTATTTTGGTCCAAAGTGTTGGGCTTAGCAATGGGGCATAGAGAAGGACCCTCCCCTCAGCAGCCCCTGCCTGCGTGCCCTTGCATAGGTCAAGATGCAGAAGGGGGAGCGCCAGATGGCCAAGAGGTTCCTGGAGGAGCGGAAGGAGGAGCTGGAAGAGGTGGCCCACGAACTAGCCGAGACGGAGCACGAGAACACAGTGCTTAGGCACAACATTGAGCGCATCAAGGAGGAGAAGGATTTTACCATGTAAGGCAGTGCCCACCCTGCTCACCCTGAGGGTGTGCTCCTTCCCACCAGGCTGCCCCAAGCCCTGGGCTGGATGGAAAGCCTCGGTGGAGATGGGTACAGGTGCTGCTCCTATGTCCTGGGAGACCTGTTCAGCACTGTCACATGGTGAACTGTAGTTGATTGTCTGATTGCACCTGTGACTCGTACTGTGTGGGAAGGTGGCAACCCAGGGAGTACAGCTTGGGGAGGAGGCAGTCATCAGGAGCTCTTTCTGGAAAAAGTAACTTTAAGGGGAGTCCTGCAGGATGGTTAAGAGTTTGTTAGGCACAACTGGGCATGGTGACTCATACCTATAATCCCAGCACTCTGGGAGGCTGAGGCAGGACAATCACTTGTGCTCAGGAGTTCGAGACCAGCCTGGGCAACATAGCAATACCTCATCTCTACAAAAAAAAAATTTTTAATTTCTTTGGGCATGATAGTGCACACCTGTAGTCTCAGCTACTTAGGAGGCTGAGGCAGGAGGATGCCTGAGCCCAAGAGTCTGAGGCTGTGGTGAGCCGTGATTGGGCCACTGCACTCCAGCCTGGGTGACAGAGTGAGAACCCCAACTCAAAAAAAAAAAAAAAAAAAGAATTAGGCAGGTGGGTGCTGGGGAAGAAGGCACATAACACAGTGGGAACATCTTGTGGGAGCCCCCAAGGTGGGAAGGTGCTTGCAGTTGAGTCATGGAAAGCAGGCCAGAATGTGTCTGTAGAGGACAGGGGGCACCACAGAGTTTAGTGGGGACCAGTTTTCAGTGGCCACTTTGAGGCATTTGCATTGAGGCATTTGGGAGTCATGGAAAGGTTTGGAAGCAGAGAGTGGCATGACTAGACTTGGCTTCAGTGTGGAAAGCAGATGGAAGGGCTGAAAGCGAATCTGAAGATGGTGGTTAGGAGACTGTGGTGGGCGCTGAGGTGACAATGGTGGCTGTCTAAAACAAGCAGGGCCACAGGTAGCTAATGTTACCAGGTGTGGAGGCCCTGGACTGGTGCCCAGGTAGCTGTGACTTATGGCCCTGGTCCTTTCAGAAGGCTACTCAGACCAGAAAGTCTGTCCCTGCCCCCTCCCCCACTGTTCCCTGGCAGGAGGGGAGCCTCACAGGGCATTGTGAGGCGAGCCTCGGAGCTCTAGGTGCACAAGGACCTGGGAGGGCTCACAGAGCCCGTCTTTGTGGCCCCAGGCTTCAGAAGAAACACCTGCAGCAGGAGAAGGAGTGCCTTATGTCCAAGCTGGTGGAGGCTGAAATGGATGGGGCTGCAGCTGCCAAGCAAGTCATGGCCTTGAAGGACACCATCGGGAAGCTGAAAACAGTAGGTGGCAGGCAGATGGGCCCAGCCTGGGACTGGACCTAGAGTGCTCGCAGCTGCTGGCCTGGATAGGGCTTTATGCAGTCATCAGGCAGACTTTATGATGTCTTCAGGCTGGGGGAGGCATGCTTAACTCCTAGGCCCCCGCCCCCACCCTCACTTCCTGGGCCTTGACCCTTGAGGGTGACCTCTGGTGACCAGGGCCTCCGAGAAGACCTCATCATGGGTCGCCTGGGATCACAGTGAGTCAAGGCATGTGGTTGATTCCTGCAAGTGTCAGCCACCAGGTCTCTCATTGTCCTCCCTCCTCCAGAAAGCCTTCCCTAACTGCACTTGCCCACGCTGAGCTCTCCTGCCCCTTCCTCTACCACCTGCTCTCAGCAGACTTTGCTCCTGCCCCTTCTTTCTAGATCTGCCTCCTCCAAGAAGCCAGCCCTTGACCACCTTGGCCCTGTACATGGCCTGGCTCTCCTTGCCTGGGCTTCCTGTCACCAGCACCTCTTGGGTCCCCCATGGGGCCTACCTCTTACCCTCTCCCACGCACCTTTTAAGACTGCCTGCTTGTTTTCCAGGAGAAACAAATGACCTGCACGGACATCAACACCCTAACGAGGCAGAAGGAACTTCTCCTGCAGAAGCTGAGCACATTTGAGGAGACTAACCGCACCCTCCGAGACCTGCTGAGGGAACAGCACTGCAAAGAGGTGAGCTCCTGGCCCGATCCCACTGCCGGCTCTTGGACTCCACTCTTCTCCTTCAGCCCCACAAGTCTGTCCTCTCTGAGCCTCAGTCTCCTTGGCTATAGAAAGAAAATACTACTAGTGCCTGACCTGAGAAGACTTAGAGAGACAAGTGCTGTCTTTGTTGTCATTGAGGCTGGGCCAGGCAGCACCGGAAGGATCTTGGAAGTCAGGAGAAGGGAGGGCTTTAGCCCACTCCAGGGAGTGGGCAAAAAAAGGAGCATCCCAGACCTGAGTGTTTTCTTGGGTAGAAAAATTATTAATGGATGACCGACACATTGTGTGGTCTCACTTTGTTTTCTTTGTTTTACTTTTTTTGTGATGGTTTTAATTTTTTTTTCCCCCCTGGAGACAGAGTCTTGCTCTGTCCCCAGACTGAAGTGCAGTGATGCAATCATAGTTTACTGCAGTCTCAAATTCTGGGCTCACATGAGGCTCCCATCTCAGCCTCCCAGTTAACTAGGACTAAAAGTGCACCACCACACCTGGCTAAGTTCTTTTATGTCTTATAGAGACAGGGCTCTTGCTGTGTTGTCTAGGCTGGTCATGAACTCTTGGTTGCTGTGTTGTCTAGGCTGGTCACGAACTCTTGTTCTCAAGCAATCCTCTTGCTTTGACCTCGCACAGTGCTGGGATTACAGGCATGAGCCACCATGCCCAACTTCCGTTTGTTTCTCTAAAGATGTTCTCTGAAACTATATGTTAGCAGATACAGTTGGCCTTGTGTTTCCGTGGGTTCCACATCTATGGATTCAACCAACATTGCATAAAAAATATTTGAAAAAAACAATTGTGTCTGTACTGAACATATACAAACTTTTTTCTTGATATTATTCCATAAATACACAGTATAGCAACTATTTTTTTTTTTTTTTGAGTTGGAGTCTCACTCTGTCACCCAGAC